CTAAATTTTGTATCAGAGACCTCTGTGTCCCATTAACTGCCTGGAAATATTTTTCATTTAAAAATATATGTGTGTGTGTATGTGTGTGTGTGTATTTGAAAAAGAGTTATTTATTTTATTTATTCATTGATTTATTTAAATTTGGCCAGAGAGAAAGAGAGAGAGAGGAGAAAGGAAGAAAGCAAGCCACCAGGTCCAGGACTCAAACCATGATTAGCCATGTGGGAGTGTCCAGCGCCTTAACCACCATGCCACCTGCTGGTCCCTGTGTGTGTATTTTTAAATTCATGATAGAGCATGTACAAGAGAGGGAGGGAAAGATAGGTGCCTCCTGCACAGGGTCTAGGCACGCTGTGAGTCCCCTTGATCTGGACGTTCACGTGGGCGCCCAGTGTGCTTTGGGCTGACCTAGGCAGGGATTCCAACTGTGGTGGCCATATGGGATCCAGCTTCTCGTGAGCAGCACATTCCCACTGCACCATGGAGCCACCCCCCAGAATACATCTTACTAACTGCCTCATCTGCAAACTAAGATCTCCCTGGATATTTAAGCAAACTTTGACTTTTACCAAAGACGCATCGCCTATCTTCTTGCAATGCTCAGTAGGTGAGCTGTGCAGCCTTTACTCTAAAACTCAGGAGGATCTACTGGCCCTGTTGGGAGCTGGGTACCCTGAGCAGTTAGGTGTCTACTGATAAGGACGTTTCTGTGCCGTTAGTGGGGTTGTTTTAACCCCATTGTCTCCAAGTGATTCTTTCTCATCTAGCACCTTTGACTAGCTCACAAGGGTTAGCACTATGAATCGGTGAACAGTGGTCTGTTTGCTGAAACAAAACCCTCCCCAGAGCCCCCAACGCGTCTCCTGGTGGGTGCCAGCACCCCTCACTTGGAATTAGACTTTCGGAGTCTGATACTGGCCCATGCTCACAAATGGGACTGTGGCACTTCCTTCTGCACTTAGCTGTAAGTCTTGAGTATACTCACCTCACACGTTATTTGCTTACTAGGTCCCTCAAGATTCCCCTTTCTCCCTTCTATAGTGAATGGTTACATTTCTGAGTCCATGATTGGTTTTTCTCTAATCCAACCTATTTAGAAGTCCTTCTTTGCATGGACTAAGTAGAAGTTCAGAACCTAATTTGCAGGTCACTTCCAGCAAAGTGTGCAGAGCAGAGCTGTCCAGTAGGGAATGAATGTGGGCACATACATCATTTTGAATGTTTTCATGGCCACATTGAAAGATATCAAAGATTCTTGCAAAAAAAAGAAAACTTAAAATTAACTTTAATAATTTATCTTAAATACATTTTACACCTATATGTAAAAATATATATAATATTATCTAAAATATCCCTGAATATTTAATAAATATAAAAATTATTGTATTACCAGACTGGCCACATGACCTACTGGCTAAAGGGAACTGGATCTCCCATGGCCGACTGTGGTTTGAATCCCAGCCCCATGGCTTGAAAAACACTGTGGGCCCGTGTGCTTGTATGCTCGCCATCCAGACAGGTTGGAGAAATGGAGGAGAAGGGATTGCAGCATGACCATGCCCTATCGAGGAGTGCTTTCCCCCTCTCTACCTCTCCCTCTCCTTCTCTGTGTTTCTGTCAAGTGCACATGCCCTACGACAATAAAATAAAAATAAAGTATTACATCCCCTCCTCCCCCACCTTAAGGCATGTGTGCTCATGGAGAGAGAGAAGGATAGAGACAGTGAGAGGGAAAGTGAGAAATCACCCCCACCCAGGGGGGGCAAGATGGCCACACTGCAGTCCCTTCTCCTCCATTTTCCTCCTGGGATCTTGGGCACACACGCATGCATACATGCATGCTCACACACATGCTCACACACTTGGCATGATTTTCAAACCACTGAGTTGGGACTCAAACCACCATCGACCATCTGGGAGTCCGGTGATGTAACTGCTATGCCACCTGCTGGCCCTGCATTCCTTTCATTACACTCAGTTTTTGTAGTCACTTTGCAAGTTCGAGTGCTGCCTACACACATGGCTGCGACTGCCGTGCAAGTGTGCAGGGCAGTGAGAACAGAGCCCTTAGAGGGTCCGCCCCTTCCCTCGCTGCACGTCCTCCTCCACTCTTCTCTGTGTCCTCACTTCTGCTCTCCCCAAGGTTAAAAACAATCATCCTTATAAGCCACTCCGAAGGACTCCAGTTTGAAACAAGACAGTGCATAAATGAATCAAACTTTTTCCAGAGCAGTCTGTGACAGTCTGGATGGAAGTACACACCCAGCACCTTTGCCCGCAGGATGCCAGCGAGGGAATTTTTTCCTATTTCCCATTCTTTTGAGCAGGGCCAGGCTACTTTTTCGTAATCGAGCAGACATTGGGCCTATGTGTCTTTTTTCTATGCTATATGGGGCGTGTGCTCACCAGAGACAGAGAGAGACAAAGACAGTGAAAGGGAAAGTGAGAAATCACTCCTCAGGGTCTCGGGCAAGCACGCATACATGCCCAGTGCTTTTTTTTGGTCAAGCTTTCGAGTCCAGGACTTGAACCTTGGCTATGTGGACTCGAGCTGCTCTAACCCCTACACCATCTGCTGGCCAGAGCCTGCACATCTTACTGGATTCATTTTTCCTGGAGACTTAGGTGAAGAGGAAGACACGGTGATGGAAACAGGGCCTCCCACCGGCAGTTTCTTTGAGGAGTCTTTTTTTCCTTCACAGCTTGAGGGCGCGTTTCAGGATTGTTTGGGTCCGTCCTAGATTCACTTGGTGATGTCCCAGTTTCTCACACGGTGAGCTGACACTTGGGGAGTTGGTTCTAAATGTGTGTGAGGGTTAGTTGGACTCCCAACTACACTCGCTGCTTCTGGCTAGAGAGGGTGTGACGCCTCCCTGTGAGCCCAGCCCAGCAGGTGGCATCGCTGGATGTCAGTGCGTGGACTTTGTGTTCAGCTGGTGGGTGCAGCCACAGGCCAGGCACAGAACAGGGAAAAGACTTTGGCTGTGAAGAATTCTCTGTTGTTTCGATGGTTATATTTCTCTCCTTAGCACTTCAGTTGCTTTGAATGGGTACTTTCAAGGTGCTTAAATTCTGTAGTTACAGGTCCCTTTCTGTTCCTTATTTCTACCAAAATCATATTTATACTCCTTCATTTTAATCAGATTTTTTGAGAATGAAGACATCTCTCCATGTATGTTTGTGTTTAGAGAGAGAGAGACAACATTGGGGGATAAAGGAATCAGCAGATGGCATAATTACATTGCTGGACTCCCATGTAGTTGATCATGATTCAAGTCCTGGATGCGGCAGCTTAAAACTCACACTGGATGTGTGTGCGTGCATGCCCAAGATCCGGAGAGGAGAATGGAGGAGAAGAGATTGCAGCATGGCCATCCCCTCCTGGGGGTGATTTCTCACTTTCTGTCTTTCTCTCTCTGGCAAGCACATGTGCCGGTACAGAAAAAAAGAAAGAAAGAGAGAAAGAGGGAGGGAGAGAGGGAGAAAAAAAAAAAGAAATTGAATCAGTGGAGAGGCGAAGAAACCAGCCAGAACCGCAGCACATCCACTTTTATCTCGCTGGATATCTTTGTGGTCCTTTCTGTGATATATACAGAGGACTTTATAGGCTCTTTCTTTTTCAACAATATACTTATTTTCCATTAGAAGAAAAGTAGGCTTTAAGTAATCCACTCTGAGTTTTATACAAACCATAAATGAGTGGGCATAAGTAGATGGGTCTCTTGAAAGAATTGGGGGGAGCTCCACTCATCAAGCCATCTGCATGTTTCTTGATGTCAATCTGTATGTTTTATTAATTCTCTTACATTTAGAAAAACATCAATGGTATAGTGAAGTCTACTTAATCTTCCTGTTGTCAGCTATTACTTTAGATATCCTCCTCTTCCTGGATATGAAGAACAGCCTTTTCTCTGTACAAAAATCTGTCTCAGACTGGCCCCATAACCCAGTGGTTAAAGGAGCCAAATTCCCACGTGACTGACTCCAGTTCAATTCCTGACTCCTGTGGTTTGAAAAACATACCAGGTGTGTGTGTGTGTGTGTGTGTGTGTGTACGCATGTGTGTCTGTGCCTCAAGTCTTGATAAAATTGAGAAATGGAGACGCGATTTGGCATGACCATGCCCTATCAGGGGATGCTTTCACTCTCTGGCAAGCACAGGTGCCCTCTGGCAATGACAGTAAATAAATGTCTTTTTAAAAAATCTCTCTTTGGGGGCCGGCAGGTGGCATAGCAGTTATGTTGCTGGATTCCCACATGGGCAACTGTGGTTTGAGTCCTTGACCCGGTGGCTTGAAACTCATGGCAGGCATGTGTGGGTACATGCCCAAGATCCCGGGAGGAGAAGGGACTGTGGCATGGCCATCCCCCCTGGGGGGTGATTTCTCATGTTCCCTCTCACTGTCTCTGTCTCTCTTCTTCCTCTCTCTGGCAAACACACACACCCTAAGGCAAAAACATCTTTAAAAAAAGTTTCAAGTCTGAACAATGCAGTACAGAATTTGTCATTAAAAAAGAAAATAATCTGTCTCAATACAAGTCATATCAGATGGAGGTTGTCTATTCCCTGCCCCATCTCTCTTTCTCTGTCTCCCTTTCTCATGCATACACACTCTTTTAGTACTGAAGCTGTTGCTGTGTGTACAGTGACATCTCCAATCGTCAAATTGCTCTCCTTGCCCCCCCCCACTTTTTAATTTGCCAGAGGGCACTGTGTTGGCTACAGAGAGGAAAAGTGAGAAAGCAACCCCCATGGGAGATGGTCACATCCTAATCCTCCATCTCTCCCTCTTTTCACAGTTTCAGTCACACACATGCATCCTCCCAGCACGTGTTTCAAACCTTTGGATCCAAGACACGAACCGCAGTCGGCCATGTGGCATCCAGCCTCCTTAACCACCTGCACTACAGTCTGGCCCGCTGCCTTTTCTGTATTTCTTTTCCTATCCTGCACCGTTACGTGTGTAACCATTGCTCTGCTCGTTGTGCTACAATTATAGGGGGAAGCAGAAAGAGACTGTGATAACAAGAAAATCCGGCTGGAGAAGGAAGGCAAATCACAATCCTCTTCGTCTTCATCCTCCCACAAAGAACCTTCTAAAACAAAGTGAGTATAGAGACGGGAAAAGCCAAGGAAGGCGCTGAGTCTCCTTGGGCCTTGATGTGGGAAAGCTTTCTTTCCTGCGGTAGAATCCATGGACTAAGACGCTTGTTCCGGCTCATTCTGACGACATAGTGAGTTTGTTCTGTTTGGCTTTCATCCATGAGGACCTTACAGAAATCAATACATTTGGCAGCAAATGAAGGGTTATCAGAACCATTTCCGGTATGAAAAGCTTCTTAAACTCATGGAATTATTTATTTATTTTTTTTCCTGAAGGAAAATAAGTTGGTACTATTGCCATTCTACTTTGCAGAATTAGAAATGGAGGTGCAGAGGGAGAAAGTGACGGTCCCAGTGTCACAGAAATCCCCCTGGGGGTGGAGCCAGCATCTGGAGTCCGGGGAGCCTGGCCCCGGTGTTCTTGCTTTGAGGGATGAGCCAGAGCCTGCTGGGCCTGGGCAGGGGAGCAGGTGCAAGGTGGTCCTGCCAGGAAGGTATGAATAGATAGTAACAGCTTCCTTTCTGATTTATTTGGGAAAGTGCTTCACAAAATGACTTGGCAGAAAACAAGTACATGGTGTCACCATAGAGGAGCTGATAGCGATGAGAGTAAAAAGCATCGGTAGATAAGGAGGTGGCAGCTGGGCTTTCCTCCTCCTCCGGGGATGGTGCGGGTCAGGTCAGGAGCAGCTGAGTAAGAGTTAGGGATGGTTAAGGAGCGCTAGGGCCATTGGCACACTCTGCAAACCTAGTGACAACTGATACCATGTCGTTTGTGACTAATGGATGGTGCTAGATCTTCAATTGCATCAAAAAGTCCCTGAGATGTGGCCTCTCTGCAGCACGGTTTCATCCTCGGTAATTTCGCTGGCTTCCCTGCCCGCAGCTCTTTGTCCTTTGTAACCAAACAACCAAACTTTGTGACTGGTGTTCCGCCTCACTGTAGTTCTGATGATGTTTCACTCCAGGACACACAGGCCCTCCTCAGAGCCCTCAAAGAAGGAAATGCTTCCCCCACCACCTGCGGCGGCGGCGTCCTCGTCCTCGTCCTCGTCCTCGTCCTCGTCCTCATCCTCCCAGAAGCCAGCCAAGCCTGCACACCAAAGGTCGAGGCAGGAAGCAACAAAAGGTCGAGGCGGGAAGCAGACACCTGTGGCCAGGAGCCTCCTAAAAGTGCCAGTAGTAGCAAGAGCAGCCATAAAGACCCTTCCGTTCCCAAGCACAGAAAAGTAGAGGGGAAGGGCTCTGGAAGCTCCGCAGAACACAGAGTAAGTAGGGGAGGCATGGGATGCTTGGATAGTTCTCAAGTTCTCTTTTTTTCTTTTCGGAGATTTTATTCAACTTTATTTATTTATTTTAATTTGACTGGAGAAGGGCAGAGAGAGAGAGAGAGAAATATCAAGCCGCTAGGTCTGGGACTCGAACTGTGGTCGGCCATGTGGGAGTCCAGCACCCTTAACCACCTAAGTTCCTAATGATAATGCTTCAGATGGTACACATCACCTTTTATTTTCTTAAAAAGAATTATTTATTTAATTTTATTTATTGTTGTTATTCAATTCGATATAGGGCATGTGCACTCACAAGAGAAAGACAGAGAGAGAGAAAGCGAGAAAGAGATAAAGAAAGCAAATCGTCAGGTGCAGGACTTGAACCACAGTTGGCCATGTGGGAGTCCAGCGCCTTCACTACCACTCTACCTGCTGGCTCCAGTACTCATCCCTTTTTTTTTTTTTTTTTAGAATTATTTTATTCAACTTTATGTATTTATTTATTTTAATATGCTAGAGAGGGACACAGGGGAGGAGGTGGGAGAGAGAGAGAGTGAAAAAGCAAGCCACCAGGTCCGAGACTTGAACCACAGTTGGCCATGTGGGAGTGCAGAGCCCTTAACCACCACTCTACTTCTGGCCCCCTCTTCACTTTTAATAAGGCAATTAATAATGAATAATATGTTGTATTTAAATTTCTCCTTTTTGGAGGGAGAGTTAAAGATAATATTATACAGAAATTTAGGATGTTAATTTATTAATGTGATTCAGAGGTAAAAAAACGAGAATCGATTCTGGCACGAATGTACCGAGTGTTTTGCAGTAGGATATGGTTACTCTGGTTAGTTTATAGCTTGAATGTTTGATCTCAAAAGCTGAACATCATGGAGAAATATTTATGTACTTTCTCAAAGTTCTTTTCTTCCTGTTAACCTGGGGGCGTGTGTCTGTGCTAAGAGATGGTGTTACAGTTGGCTTTGTGACTTTCGTGCTCTCATGGACATTCTTGTCTTGACATCCTTTGAGTCCCCAATACAGTCAGAACCTAGAGCTTCCAGCTGACTCTGGCTGGCAAGCCCTTGGCCCAGCTGAATTGTGTAATGTTTGATTCACACTGTTATTTGGGGCTAATTAAGAGGATTGTAGGTTGGTGCACAGGTAATTGCAGTTTGCATTGTTGAAATTTGCCATTTGAAGTTGGGAACATTTGAAAATAAATGTGGTTATATTATAAATCATTCTAATGCCCATTTCTCTCTCTCTGGTTTTTTTTTTTTTTTTTTTTTTTTTGCTAATGACTTATTACTTGCTGTTTATTTTGTATGTATTTTAGACTATGGCAATGATGTTAGACAAAAACCACATGTAAGTGACTTTTCTTATTCAAGTTCAAAATGGGTCTTAAAGCAGTGGAGACAACTCGTAACATCAATGCGTTAGGCCCAGGAACTGCTAACGAACGCACAGAGCAGTGGTGGTTGAAGGTTTGCACAGGAGATGAGAGCTTGAAGATGAGCAGTGAAGCGGCCAGCCGTCAGAGGTTGACAGTGACTAGTTGAGAGCAATCATCGAGGCTGATCCTCTTATGACACAAGAAGTTGCCGAAGAACTCGGCATCCACCATTCTATGGGCATTTAGAATTGGAAGCAAACTGGCAAGGTGAAGAAGTTCAATAAGTGGGTGCCTCATGGACAGACCAAAAATGAAAAGAAGTCATCAATTTCAAGAGTCATCTTCTCTTATTCTATGCAACAACAACGAACTGTTTCTCAATGGGATTGTGACAAAAGGTGGATTTTATGTGACAGCCCATGATGAACAGCTCAGCGGTTGGACCATGACACTCCAAAGCCCTTCCAAAAGCTAGACCTGCACTGAAAGAAAGTCACGATCCCTAGCTGGTGGCCTGCTGCCAGTCTGATCCACTACAGCTTTCCGAATCCCAATGAGATCATTCGATCCGAGATCAATGAGATTCACCAAAAGATTTACCAAGGCCTGCAGCCAGCACTGGTCAACAGAAAGGTCCCAGTTCTTCTCCATGACAACGCCGGACTACACGTCACAGGACCAATGCTTCAAAAGTTGAACAAATAGTGCTATGAAGTTTGCCTCATCCGCCATATTCACCTGACCTCACACTAGCAGACTACCGCTTCTTCAAGCATGTTGACGGCTTCTCTGTGGGCAAATGCTTCCACAATCAGCAGGATTCAGGGAATGCTATCCAAGTTTGTCGAATCCCAAAGCACGATGCTTACGCTACAGGAATAAACAAACCTATTTCTCGTTGGCAAAAATAATGTTGATTTGTAATGGTTCCTAATTTAAAGATGTGTTTGAGCCTGGTTATAATGATTTAAAATTCTATTTAAAATACAACGCAATTACTTTTGTACCAACCTAATATTTTTAAGGCAGTGATCTTAAAAGTTAGAGTGTAATCCGTATAATGCTTTTTTTTTTCTTAAAGGGATCTTCTGGAGATACTTCAAATCGTTTTCCAGTGCCTTCTTTGCCAAATGGTAACTCTAAACCAGGGAAGCCCCAAGTGAAGTTTGACAAGTAAGACTTGAATGTTCCTTATTCTCCTTTCCTGAACCCTGTTTCTTCCTCTTCCCCGCTATGTCCCCCCCTTTTTTTTATTTACCCCCTTCTTCCTCTCCTCCCTTCCTTTCACACTCTCTTATTCTCCTTAAGTACTCTTGCCTCACACTAGCAAGAAAATCTACCCCTGGATTTTCCTCTTCTTTTTCAGACAACAAGCAGATTTTCACATGAAGGAGGCCAAAAAGTTAAAACTCAAAGCAGAATTAATGGTCAGTCTTGGTTCTTTATCCCTTTGGCATAGAATGCTTTCTGATTTTAAAATGAGTTGTTGTGGGCTTCCTTCACCTGTATTGTATATTCGCTATATGTGCGTGTTGAGGAGTGCTAGGGGGTGGGCAGCAGGAGGGAGGCGTCTGTGTGGCCTGCCGTTGGCCATAACATACCCAGGATAATCTGGATCTTAATGGCCACGGGGTTTTAGTAGAATTATTTTCTTTGGCTCCATTGATTTGGTCTGGTTATGGGCAAATATACAAAGTGCCCAGTCACAAGTTTATATCCCAATGAGTGAAAGTTGATCCAGCAGACGGTGGTTTAATTCTTGAGTGCTTTTTTTTTTTTTTTTTTTTTTTTCCTTTTATATTTT